GTACGACTTTGGTGATTTCTGTAGGGAAGTTTGAAGACGAAAAGACAGCGAGAAGGAAGATGAGAAAGGGATAACTGTGTGCAGATGACGCAGCTAGGTTTGAGGACAAAAATCAGGACTCCTGCGTTCTCGGCGATTATAAATTGGCATTATTTCAGCCTATGGAAGTAGGAAAACCTTGCACTTTCAGAGACGCAGGATGCTTTAAATTAAAGGTACAATAATGAATCAAACTGGTATTTTGCCAAAATAACAACTTGTATGTATTTAAATGGTTTAGTGCGTTTAAGGATCACAATAATTCCGCCAGTAAATTTATAAGCTTTGCCGACTACCTCTTGTCCTGTACTCGGTACAGCAGTGACCATGTCTGATCTAGACGACTTTTTACGCCGTAGATTGTATTATTCATATTGAAAGGTCTAAGGTAACGAATTTGGAAAGATAGACTTCATCTCCAGTCTAGCAAGGGATATCCAACGGAAGTACAAACATCGTTTATGTGTCGAGTCTGGTTTTAAGTTGACCAGGGCTTCGATGATCTTATCTAGACAGTAGTGCCAGATCCATTTCCGCAACACTTAGCTTATGAGGCGGACGAAGAGGAACGTATAAAAACCCCCTTACTCGACCTGTTTGAGTAATTCTGGTGGTGTTATGCCGTAAATGTTCACTGTCATATTCGAAAGTAGCGCAGTGTTCTTAATGCAGAGTACGGTCCTAGGCAACGGGGGTCAAACGTATCCCGTTTTCGGTCAGCTTCGGTGCGCAGAATCCAACATTAACAACTGTAAGGAGGGCTGTCCGAGAAATGTTGATCTCTGTCGTGATGGAGATCTCTTTGGGGGTCCAGACCTGTGAAAACTTTGGGTTCAGCACTTATTTTGGAGACGATGTCATCTTCACTCTGTCTATTACAAGCACCTCACCTGTTTTGTTTGAAACCATCTACCTATTCGCTTTGAAAACCACTAATATTGAAAGGGACCGTCTTCCTGTCAGGGATGCAGGTAGACAATATTTTGGAATCCCAGCATTTCTGGACAAACCAGTTGATTTGGCGAGCTCACCTATCTGCAACCTGTTGCTCAAAAAAGGCACTATCGTGGAAACAGTTCAAAGCACTTCCGAAAACTCATCATGCGTTGCGTTACGGCCGGATGAGCGTCAAAATACAAGGTTGTTGAAAAACAGACGGCATTTCAAATGTCGCGAAGTATCGTTGCGGAACGGGATCAGTAGTAAACTCTAATGCCTATAGTTATGTGGGCCGACATATGGTCTCAGTCCATTCACCATCAATGACGGGAGTGAATGTTGCGACGAAATCAACCAAAAATATTACAGTCAGTTTCTTACATCCACAACGGGGGCCAATAAGGTTTCACCTTGCGCCGTCCAGTTAATGCAGACCCTGACAAATATTAACTGATCGCAGTGCGGTAGTTTTGAGAAGAGGGGCTCTATATCGCGTTGTACAACAGGTGATCTTGGTACATTTATAAGGACAAAAGCGATGTTCGTAAAATAGCTAATACCTGGGCTATTAGTATGGTAAGTTACAACATCAATATATAACTATCGTCTGTCCGTTGGGAGCAGGTGTATATTACGCAGTGGTTGACGGGCTTTAGTCCAAATATCCACTTACAATTTCAGTCTTTGCCTCGAGACCTTGAATATAATGATGCGTTCCGCGTACAGAAATGACCTTCTGTGGAAATTAAAAAGCTGAACGTCCGTAAAGTTATCATTCATTTATACGTGATCAAGCCGGCCAGTGACTAATTCCTACGCATGTTGTCTATCGTTTGTTTGTTACCAGAGAGCGATCAGCACAACATGCTTGAAAGCAGATTTTGATGAGTCGACATCGTACAGGGAGCAGCGGAGATTTATCCACGTCATATTTCTTTTCTGAGCTCTAAATCGTGGAATCCAGGTTCAACCAGACAACAGACATCCAAACTGTACTGATAAAGACAACACACCCTCAGGTTCTGAACCTTAGGGGCCGCCAACATCGTATATTCCAGATTATAATACTAAGAGTCTGTTCCCAATTAAACATTCCAGTTCGCATTCCCCTCGCGGGCACCACTAGACCAGGGTAACGGAACGCGCCAGTTCCAACAGACGCCGTAGCAGGGATCGCGAGCCTCGTGTTAAACATTCACGTCGGGCTTATTGGGCATTTTCGCTAAGGAGAGTCGCCAGCGGCTGTCTGATTTGCTTGTAGGTTATTTCGTCCATGAATTTCGTTTAAGAACCTTACCAAAAGTCAGCGATGGTAAGCGAACGTGTTGAATACCAATTCACGATCATCCTGTCACCATGCCGTTTTCGGAGTTTGATGCATATTAAACGACGTTTGGTGTGCAAACGTTCCGCCGATTTCGCCCAGGAAGCAATTTCGTACTGGTCCTTAACTGCTGCTTTGCCACACCTAAGAACACACTTACTTCGCAGCTAACGCTCGTGGATGGATATTCTTCTGTCGGGCGCCTGGTGGCGTGAAGAATAGTAACTATCCAGGATAAATCAGAAACCGTTTGCTCAGGAACCAATCCTTCAAACTTTTGTAACTACCATCCTGTTCCTTGCAGATTCCGCTTTTTTAATTTGTTTACAGTTGATATCTACGTCTTAACCTTCTACTAGTTCAATTCAAAACTCAGATTTCTACAGGAATTCCTACTATCAGTCGGAACGAAATTATGATTGCCATCCGGTTGCCCTTCGGGATCTGCCCTGCTGTTCAGGATAACAATAATAAGACCAATACAAGCGAACATGCATGTCCCAGGGAGCAATTGAGAAGAAGAAGACTCGATCGCTGGGACAATATGT